TTTGGTGTGGTGGTGGTGGGAGGAGATTGATTATTCCTTTCTCTCTTATTTTTCTGAAGGTTTAGATTTAAAAAAAATTTACCCATTTACCCATTACTTCTTGGCATCTCTCTGTTCCATTCTCACTCCACTGCCTCTCCTGTAGGCTTCTGTGGCATAGAGGAGCAACTTTTGGTTCACCTGGATTGTAGTTGCTGACTTCAGGACCTTTAGAGAATGTTTAAATTCAGTGGGATATGCTTGGACGCTTCAGAGCAGCCTTACAATACATTTTAAAAATATCACACCCACAGAAATTCTATTTTGCCCACAAAATTTGCATTGATCTAGTTCCCACTCTGTGATGCCATTCCTAGTGATCCTCCTCCCTACCCCTTCCATTGTGGTAGAAAAAAGCTCTGTGTCCTGGCTACATCAAAATCTATTGGGGTGAATCTTGGACTCAGCACCCAGGGCTTCTGATAAGGTAGGTTTGAGAATCCACATTTTTTTCAAGGTTTACAGGTGATTCTGACAAGTAACCTGGTTGCAACCCACTGATTAAGTACATTTTTTTTTTTTTTTTTTTGCCTTCAGGTGTGTGTATGAGATCTTTCTAAATTTAAGAAATTTTCATAGTGAATGTAACATTAGTCATTCCGGTGTTTAATGCTTTTGACTCAAGGAGTTTTAAAATTGCTAAGATAAGAGCTGTAGAATAGTGTCATTTCTTCTGTAATCCGGGTACAATGTGTCTGCACTGACTCTTTAGAAGGGTTTCATATATTTGGACGATACTATAAATTCTCCACTTCTTCTTTTCCCTTTTCTTCTGTTAATCTCTTTTTCCTTAAATGTCATTCCATATATGTCATTTTTTGACCCTTTATACATCTGCAATGGCTCTAGAGTAAAAAACTCCAAGGTGTGATTTGAATAAGAATGTAATAAGAAATTTTGCATCATTTTCTTTATATTGTGGTCACACTCTGTAGTTACATGCTTCCTTTCTTGATGTCTCAGTCTGAATGCCTAAATTTGAACTACCAGTTTTCCTTCCACCCTTTCCTGATTTTCCTTTTTTTGTTTTCCCCCCTTTCTCTGCAAATGACTTGAAACCAAAAGGTCTTCTTTTCTTTGTCAGTCTGGCATATGTGTAGTATTTTGGAAAGATCACTGAACTAGGAGCCAGAAGACCAGAATTCTTCTTCAGGTTTGTTATTAATTGGTTTGGTGACCTTGTAGGAGAGCCACAGTTTTGGTTCTCTGTTTTCTAATGTACATTGTTCTTGGTCACAGAGCCAATTAGAGTTGAGACTAGAATTCCTCTCTTCTGGTGTCCACCGCCTTACTCACTCTCCACACTGCTTCCATCTTGTGTACAAATGAGCTTATGTACCCAAAAACTCTTATAACATCCTCAAGTGCTTATTGTTAATGTGTGCATGAGGAAAGAGTTGTGTCTTTTCATTTATGTGTTTATTCTAATGCCCACACCCCTACTCCTGTACCTGGCATGATGCCTTGGCATCCAGCAGGTACACAATAAATATTTGTTCAGTTGAACAATTACTTTTAGTCATTTTCTTATTTTGGACAACTGTGGTACTCCTAGACATTTTAAAAATAGTATTTGCAAAAGTCATGTTTACCTTACATTTGGGGAAAAACCAATTTTTTCCCTTCCCCAGATGTTTCATTTAAACTTGTAATTTTAAATTTCTTTTTGTGTAGGGTTTCTTTCTTTCTTTTTCTGATCACTTCTGCAATTTATAAAGGTCACTTTGACTTTGGAATCTCACTTCAAAGGCACTGGCATCCACCCCCTGCCTCTCACTGAAATTTGCTTCCACTGCTTCCTGTATTACTATATTACTAGGCCAGAAATTTCTATTATTTTGTTCAGAATAGCTACACCTTTTTGTAATTTTGTCATTTTGGGACTAGTAATTTTTGGAATATTATTTTTAAAATTAGATTTAACTAAGTTTATGTTTCTTTTGATTTTTTTTTTTTTTGAGATTTTTCATTGAGTTGGATATTACAAACTTGTACTGGACTGAGAGAATATGTACCTTTAGTAAAGTATATTTGCTTTTTTTTCCCCCCCACCAAGAGAGTTCCCTAAACACCCTACTGACAAAAACTAAAGGTAAAATGTGATGAATAACTATTTGAGAGAATCACATGGTGTCGAGTTGTCTCTGCCACAAGGTTTTGCTCCTTGAGGGCCGGGGTGGTGCTACACACATTTCTTCTCCGTACTACAGAACTTTTCTGGCATGCGCCCCCAGTTCAGAGTCAACTGAGCAGCAGGTCTTAGTCACAGCTTGTGTGACTCCTGCTCTCCCACCTTTAGAAAATTCTGTAGGAGAAGCTACTGGTGAGTTGAAGTGTGTTTCTGTGTTCTTTTTTCCTTTGAAGAGATAGGATCAGTTGAAAGCTGACCCCACCCGCAGACTTCTATGCTATCTCTTTTAATTAATTAAGGAGTGGCTGA